ATCCATACAGGTCTCTGCCATGGTACGCCGTTATGATCCTACTAAGATGTACTGTACAATTGATGTTGACATGTTTAAGGGGTAGATTTGGTGAGACAGTCAGCTGTGACTATCACAGTTCAAGGTGAGGATGCACAGCGTAGACCTGACTGGGTAAAGGCGTATAGAAATCAGTTAATGCATTGTGCCCTTAGACTGGGAATAGTGGAGAAGGACAGAGAAGCAGCACACCTCTCACTTCCACTCATCTGTATTTGAGCTTTACAGTTTTAGTGTAACAACCTACACTTCTTGTTTCTTAGTGAACACGCCTAGTTTCTGGAACATGCTTCCTTTTTCTAAACTGACTACACTGTTCCACAACACCTGTACTCTAATCTTAGATAAGTCAGAGAAAAGTGCTTTGTACTTCTCCGGTGAAAGGTTGCAGTTTACCAGTCTGTCTCCTGTCCCGCCAGAGGAGCTGATGTGGGACGCTGAGTCCCAGAAGTTGCTGTGTTCATTTGTGAAGAGTTGATTACTTCTTACTTACCTTGAATTTTGTACTTGACGGTACGGATTGGCACGCTGTAGAATAATTTTTCTAGGCACAGCTGTCGCCTGTGTGGAGGCATAAAAATGTAAACAAAACACTGTTAATGTAGCATCAGATATTTCTTCAGCACATCTTGTTTGTAAGATCGTAATTCATAAAAATTGTAACTGAAATAAGTGTGTATTGAAAACTGCAACTGAAGATGAAGCATGTTTCTGTAGTTGTTTCAGATTTCTGAGTCAAAAGTTGTTCAGGATTCTTCTCTTCAGTTGGGTTGTATTTGTTCTCATTTTATTGATTGGATGATTTCCCAGCAGTGGTTGGGGACACGTGCTTAAAATCACAATTATGATGATGTGATGTTCAATAGTTTTTAAAAAAGGTAACAGCTGATGAATTAGCTACTTGTAAATTCACGTAATGAACCACAAACTAGAGAGCAATATGTTTATTTGACTTGTTAATGCTAATGTGGCTTTTTTTCCAGTGAGTACATAGCTATCAACTAGTTGCTAATTACTAGCAGAGCTCCACCCAGCTCCCACCTAATAAGGTTGCATTTCATCTTGTGAACAACAAAGTGTTAACATCTGTGTTTATAAAGCTCAAAATGTTTCATTTCAGTTATAAATCAATAAATTTAATGATATTGTTATTACTGAGGTCATAGTAAAAGGTGGTGTACTGGACTAGGTTACATTCAGAGGTGCAACACAACAACAAACAGGTTGATCACCTTTATGTAAAGATATTCTATATAACGAAGGAACTGTGGTGATTTACAAATAGCCCTCACTTTTGCTTAGAGATTTTCTTACTCTTTTTTTTACAGTGGGAGTCTATGGGAGAGTGCGGCACTTGCTCTGGAATTTTCATTCAAAACCCGTTCATCCTATCACAAGGACAGAGGTAGACTGTGAGTGATGTCTAGTTCTCCACATTCAAATGAATGGAGAAGCTGAGAAATGTCCAAAATCCCAAAATCGACATAAAACATAAACTATGATAATTCAAAAACCAAACAAGATTGATAATACTGGGGTTGGATATTGTGTGGAGCATCCACACACTACGTAGGCCTGTTAATAGACTAAATAGGACTACATTTTAAGTGATGAAGAGAAGGAGACACCTGATTGGTGCATTCTTGGAGCGTGGGTTTGTGTTTCATGAGTGTATTCTTAAAAATCCACGTGTCTCAGCCATGGCCCTATTTAGCTCCCCTGACATACCAGTACGACTCTAACTACAATTCCTATAATGCATCTGAAGGAAAAAAAAATGCGTTGTAACGTCTCAAGCAGCCTCAATGACTACTGGACGTTGTAGTTTACAAATAAACATTATTTTCAGCTATATAATATTCTGAAATATTGATGATGTTTACTCTGTTACTCGTTTGACAAATATAAATTTTTAAACATGTATTTATTAAAAATTCTTCAAAGACGTAAGGGTTTTTAAAGATACAAAGAAAAAGTGCTATAATAACTACATTTCCCATACGCCTTCGGGGTGTGGCGCAAGCGCGCTGCGCAGCGATAGCCGTGTGTGTGAGAAGTGTAGTCACGTGGAGACTGTATAGTCCACCTCGGTTCTGTCCAAACAGAACGTGTCTGACTGTTTGAGCGCGGCTCGGTGCTAAACAAATTCATGTTGTTTTTTAACCACCCTTCCCTTTAAACTAGACTATTTATCGAAGAATGAGTGATAACGATGATATCGAAGTCGACAGTGACGTGAGTATGGTCACTTTTCGCTTTTTAAGGATGTTATTTTGTTAGCAGGCGATGTAGCTGAACTAGCTGCTCAGCTAGCGTTAGCTACCAGTAAGCTGGCTAGCTTTGCTTCCCTATCTGATAAGTGTTGTGTTTAATCGGGATTCTAGTTAATTGATAAGCAGCACAAGCCTATCTTGTTGTGGACCATTGTTCATCTGCTACATTATTTTACTTTTTAGTGACTTCAGCGAAACAGTAGGATGTGCTGAGCAATTGTGGCTACAATTGTACTTTTTGTTCTGTTTCTTTGCAGGAAGAATCACCGAGATATCACTCTGTGGTGCGTAATGCTGGGGGGATTTGTCCACTGTCGAAAAATATTTCACTGTTGTTGCAAAGTGAATTTATCCATCTCACACTGCTTTATTTGTTGATATTGATTGGTAAGACTGCACAGTAGAGGTTGCTATTACTTCAAAGAGAATGTGAAAGTGCTGTCTTCTGCCTTGTGGGATTTCATATTTGTGTTTTGAATTAATATCACAGCACGACAGTTTTCCGTTTTTTTCTGTAGCATTGACCTAGTTTATTAGCGCAGTTCCAGTAGCGCAGCGATTGTTTCTCGGTATCAGCGTTAGCAGTGCATTGCAGGGTATCCCCCATCCTGTGTATATGCGGCCATAGGGAGACGGTGACACGACATCTATATTTAGACCAAAGCTTTATCCTGCTACAAAGGCTTTTTGTTGCTTGTTGGTGATTTTTTTTTGCGGTTAATACAATGCTTTTGTGTGAGACGGTAGCGGCATAGTTGCGCCGAGTTGCTTCCCCCGGTGATTCACCTCACACCACGGGGATCCTGCACATGATTTGCAAATTATGCATCTCAGTAAAGAGAGGTTTTATGTTTTGTACTGTATCCACACTCAGGATGCAGATGAAAAAAGAGGCGGCTGAATGTTTACGAGAAGCGGTGGCTGCGCTTGCATTTCGGCCGAGCCTTCATGTCAGGAAGGGGTGATGTGGGATGTTTTCCTGTGTTGTAGCCAGTGGTTAGAGCCATCTTCTCTCTACAGGCCACTAAAGGTCTGGCAGCCTAAATGAATGACGTATAGCTGCATCGCATGCGGGCGAGAAAAACACCCTGCACGACTTGGCTGATGCACAGGCTGCCAAACACGACGTCCTGCCTCCTGCTAGAGAGCCAGATTTTAAATGCAGAAAAGCATTTACGGAGCTGGTGTTCTGATTTTAGAGGATGCATTAGTGATGTAAGAGAATTTTAATGCAGCTGCCCTCCAGCAGACCTCAGGCCTTCGGCTTCAGAGCAGTGACTGGGACTTGATTTCAGTTCAGTTAATGATTACTAAAGCTGTAAGCATAAGTATGTTGTCAGACAGTAGCTTCCATCTTTGCATGCTTTATCCTCGATGAACATAGTCTTAAAATCAGCACATATATAAACACGGCTGAATGACTTTGCTTATAAATATTGGTGTTTAATTACCTTTATATAAAATAAACTACAGCTTTTTTGTGGTTGATTAGACAAGATTGTACTAATAATCTCAAACTTTTTTTTTTTTTTATAAAATGAGTCCATGTATTTAGAGAAAGGTGTCTTTTCTATAGATAAATTGTAGTTTATCTCTCATTTGTTCAGAGGTTACATCAGTGGTACACTTGATATCACTGGGCAACTACCAGTTTGTCACTTGACTTGTTTGTTTAGTAAAAGTCTTTATTTCAAATATAAAGATGACACAGTGCTTTTTTTTACATGACCATCTTTGGACAGTGAGCCTCTAAATGAGTCAACAGCCAGGATTTCTTTTTGTGGTTTTTGGCAACTCAGAATTAATGTTAATTAGCTTGAGTTGTGTAAATGGACCATTAACAGTGGTCAGTACAGCCGGCGAGATCAACAGCCACTAGCTTAAACTTTCTGCAGCTTTGCAAGGTGCTTTTAATGATGTGAAATATTAAAATAGCTGTTTTTGTCATATCAAAAGTGGGACTTTGATATAAAAATAAATTCAAATGATGAAATAGCCATTTGAGGTCAGGTGGTGATGACAGTGTGGCAGACATTCAGTGGGCTTCCAGAATGTTGTGTGTAGATACCTGTATGTCTTTTGGTTTAGTGATGTTTCTACCATTTTAGAGCAGGAAACTTGAACATGAAAGCCTGACAGAAATGTAGGCTTTCATGCACACAGTGACAGGTGACCATCAGTAGGCAGGAAGATGCAGCTAGCGGCACCTGGAGCACTTGCATAACGTGTTGTGGTCAGATATGAATAGAACGCAGGGAGCAGCTCGTTTGGCGTTTCTTCTCAGGGAGGTACGAAAAGGTATCGGTTTTAGGCTGAACAGATAATGGCTGCACTTAGGTAACTGGACACCTGTTCATGATGCCTGATGCACTTAATAACTCAGACAGTGTGTACTGTACCATGCAGCTAGGCTCCACAGCATATCTGAGTACAGTTGACTGTATACAGGAAGTTTGATATCAGTGAATCCTGGCTGGTAAATGGACCTAACTCCATTTAGGTAATTGCATTTGTTTGTCATAAATAGGATTCTCATATGCAATAAAGAAGTGCTACAGGAGTCTGGATTGGATAAAAAAAAAAAACTTTATTTTTTGGACTCTTAAGGCTGTAAGTCCAGATGTTGGCAAGTAGTGACAGGCAATGTGATGTAAGCTGTTGTTGGCAATGCTGTAAATCAGTAGGGACTTTTTATTTTGTTGAGAAAACCATAACATTTTATTGCTATTGTGGTTTAAAATTACATATACCATTAGAGGATTTTGTTCATATTGTTCATTCCCTGTTGAAAAGTATTTAAGAACACATATGTTACAGTCTTAATTGCAGTTAAAATGAGTTACATTGTAATAAGAGTCAGTCAGTAGCATGCTAGTCCATAAATTAATACTAAATATTTTGTAAGTTATGTACGGTATTGAACAATTTTGTAATCAAAACTAACAAACATGCAAATGCAGGTTGTTTTGTTCGCCACCCAGATCCTGATGCATCTTGTCTTGTGATCACTGTAGTTTGAAGCTGACGGTTGAACAACAGTCACAAAACATGAAGCGTTAAATTAAATGTATGAATTAGTAGTAGTTAGTGTAGCTGGTGTTTGTTCTGTGCTGGTGGCCCACCTTCGTTATGAAACATGGAATGGGATTGTAGGATTTCAGTAAAAACAAAAATGTTGGAGAGAAAAATTGGAATCTTGTAAACTTGAATCAAGATTACTGGATGATTTCACGCAGAAATCTTATTTTCATTGGAGTGTAGTCATAAATAGCAAATAGCCAAGTGTTTATTTCACCTACCCAGTGCACTCAGTGTAGTAACTGTATATGGAGCAGCTCCACTGAGAACTAAGTGCATTCTTGGATTTTAATTAACTTTCAGTGATTAATGATGAATAAAATGTGTTTGAGTTGATTAAAACAAGCCTTATCTTTCACCTGGTGCCAGCATGCTTGTAAAATATTATGTTTTGTGTGTCCCCAGACTTGTCCACAACCTGAAATAGTAGATGTTTTATACTAAAAGTAAATGTATGATAACTGAGCAATAGATTCAAAGTCTGAAGTGCACTGTACTTGTTGGAGACAGAAAAAGAGCCACGTGTGTTTCTGAGCCTCCGTGCTATTCACTGAAACCATGCAAATGAAAATGGCTGCCAGACCTGTAATTGCACATGCCATCAGTGCCAGTCATGTGTTTGTTTATACCAGGGTTAATGGAGGCAGTGGCTGTGTGGATGAAACCAGGAGGGGTTCGTGTCTCCTGGATGGTTTGTGGCTCTTGTGCAACAGGCCGCAGGAGTAGCTGTCACCATGCCAGCCAGAGCAATCACAACACTGGCATTGTGGGTAATGGGCGGTGGATTTTAATTGCTAGTTTTTATAATATTTCACTTATATTTGTGTGACATCCTGGCTGACAGTTTTTTATTTATTTTGTGGTGGCTGAGTCACACTTGATACATCGTCTTTCCCAACATACACGTGCACGTTTCAACCTGCGTGCTGTCTCACTTGTGGCCACTTTGTTGTGATCCCTGAGCAATATGAGCCACTTGATACCAGGTCACGTGACTTGGACCATGACGCCCATGTGCCTGACACATTGTCATGAGGTTGCATTCCTAATATTTCAGGTGCTTTTGTCCTTGTATGAAGTGAGATGACCAGTAAAGCTGCACATGGTCTGATTGGGTGTTGGACTTAACGTCTCAGCCGGGTGACAGCGAGTCCAGAATCAGATGTGACGGTTTAAAAACGGGTGAGACTACAGACAGCACTCCTGTCCTGCCTTCCTCATGTGGTTGTGGCAGCCATCTTATGCCTCTGCATTCTAATTGGCATGCAAATGTGTGGTTGAAGTTTGCAGCCTGTTGTTTTACATGAGTCTCTGTGTGCTGAGGTTGTATTACAGCTGTGTAATGTGGAAGCACAGTGCATGGAGAGGGCAACAACCATCCTCCACACTGAGCTGCATTTTTCTTCTTGTTAACCCTGAATCTTAAGCCACAAAAGGAGCTCTCCAATTATGCCTTTATAAATCTACAAAATAAGACCTGTGTTGGCCATGGTGCTGTTCAGTTTGTCCTTGTCCGGGATCTGTTGTTGTCTGCCCACCTCTCATCTGAATCCTCAGAGGTTGAGGAGGACAGAAATGCACTGAGAGGGGTCAGCATGAGTTACACGGAGGGAGGGGGGTTGAAGGGCAGGACGGACCATATGGTCACATAATGCAGCGTTTACTGGTGATGCAGATTATAGGGTCAACATGACCTCTTAATGTGAGGCTGGTGGAGGTTACTGATGTGCCTGATGTGCTGCTGACAGCGTGTTGATACTTAGACCCTTTGGATCATCAGTTATTTGTATGTCCAGGGTGAGTTATATTAGTTTTTGGTGTGGATCTAGAACCATGTGATAATATAGGTTGTTTCTTAACATTGTGATTTGAGACATTTTTCTCATTTTATGCCACATTTAATTTTAAAACCACGTGGTATATATCATGACACCCCTAGTTTAAATGACAATTGCTGCACTGAATGTTGTTCTTGTAAAGGCAGAGTGGGACTTGGCAGCAGAGCAGTTTGTGTAGGTGTGACCGGGGACGCTGGACACCTGCTGTCTTCTACCCACACTGCTTTGCTGCCGGGCTGAAGGCCTTGTGACTTTCTTCGTTGCAGGCAGACAAACGGGCACACCACAATGCGCTGGAGCGCAAGCGTAGGGACCACATCAAAGACAGCTTTCACAGCCTCCGGGACTCGGTGCCCGCCCTACAGGGAGAAAAGGTTGGTACAGCTCACACTCTACCTCCTCCAGGCACACAAGTGATGCTCACGGAGGATATTTCTCGTGTTTTGTCATATAATATTTCTGCTCAGTGTGAATTTTACTGCTAAGGATAGTCAGGGGTGAGGGCGTTTCTGCCATGAGGTAATTTTAATGATTTCCTGTGAAAATACATAGATGCAGATGTTGTTACTTGTTTAATGTGTTTGTCACTGGAGGGAAATGGTTGAAGAGCAGGTGGTGGTTTCTAGGCAGCCAATCAGATTCTGTTAAATTGGGCTTTGGAAAATTTGCAATGAACATTTGTTTCATTTACTGTTTTTCTGACAAAAGCAATTGTCAGATAAAGATAAAAGCAGCCCAAGTAGGAGCATGTCTGTTTTTTTGGCTTCCCAAGTTAATGCTTCACTTCATACATGTGCTAGTTTTTAGTGATGTAACAAGATGGACTTTGAGTTGGGCTATTTGGCTGCTGTAAAACAAGCAGCACTTTAGTTTGCTGTAATTGAGACGAGCTCTCTCACACAAACGTGTCAGGGTTATTACCTGTGGACTGAACTGCTCAAGGAGTTTGCGAGGTTAGGAGTTGTCGAGCTGAGCTGTGCATAAACAAATCTAGTGTCACCGTAGATTTACTGTGGTCTTCTGCAGCGTATCGGCCTCAGGGCCAGTCTGTATGGCAGCATGGCTGGAGCAGGAATCTTTGTTGGAAATGTGATAAGGACTCTGTATACTTGGCGTCATTGCTTCACTTTTTGCATGTGTCACTAACAGCAGTCTACCAAACAGGCGTCTCGAGCTCAAATCCTAGACAAAGCCACAGAGTACATCCAGTACATGAGGCGAAAAAATCACACGCACCAGCAGGATATCGATGACCTGAAGAGGCAGAACGCGCTGCTTGAGCAGCAAGGTAACACAGTCCCACTCCCATTTTTCTCTTCAGGATGGGGTGGGGGGGTGGGGGGCACAGACAATTTTGTTTTCCATGCTTAATTTCAAATTTAGGAAGAACTGTGCACAGTTGACACATTTATGACAATTCAGTCATTTTGTAGCAAAACAAATTAGGCTTGCAGTCGGTGCCACAGACGTGTTCGTCACCATCGTTTTGTGTATTTTCAGAATAGTGTTTGATGAATCCAAGCCAAACATGTGCTCTGGGGTTTACTCTG